GTTACCATACAGGAATTTCTTTTTCACATTCAATTGTAATGTAGATCTTACTTATATGTCGTCAACCTCATTGATTCGACTTGGCTTGAATAAGTAGATAAAATGCACACACACACACACACACACACACACAGAGAACTATGTGATGGTGATAATATGAAATAAAAACAAACAGCTTAACCAAGTTAAACCTATTGTAACGTGAAAGTTCAAAGGTGTCATATCCTGGTTACTTTTTTTTTTTGGCATCATTGTGTCTAAATTGATAAACAACCATAACATTCTTAATAATGATGGTGGATAGAGAAAGGAATAAAAATTTGTAAAAGTTGCTATTTTAACAGTTTCAATAATGTATGCACTAACAGTCATATCTTATGATCGTTTTAGTATTTGCCAACTAACATCATCTCTGTCACCGTCTAGTGAGATTATCCGACTATACATCGAACGATGAACAGCATACTATACTACAGTCAGTTTTGTCTTGCTTTACAGCTTTGAGACATGCTCACCAAAAGTCGAACACAAAACGATTTCACAGTTATGACTATAGATATATTCGTATCATAGTTTGAACAATGTTGAGGTCAGGTGAACGATACTAGATAAGATAAGCAAGTCAGTGGATTGATGAGGTTGTGAATCTTCATAGACTCAGTAGACGGCCTGGACATGTGCTGTGGATGTCGGGCTACTGCCTACCTCGATGTACCATGCTAGAAGATGGATAAGTTTGGAATAGAGATCATAGTGGTCAAATTAAAATGTGGCATTAATGCAATAACTCCCGGATTGGTGGTCTAAGCTGTGTAAGGAGATGTCGACTGCCTGACTGGAGTTCCCGAGATGATGGTGACGTGGCTGGAAATCGGTCACAATGGCGTAGATGTATTTGTAATAACCTTTATCTTCAAACTGTCTATTCTCTCGTACAACTATGTCTACTTGGATATCAGTCTTTTCTACCTACTTGTTGTTTGCAGGCTACTGTGATGTGTGTCAACTTGAGCAAAGGCAGTTTTGTATGCAAGGTTCTACGCTGAAAATGACAACCATAGAAATATTACTTAGCATTGAAAACACAGTCGTTTCTAGAATGATGCATATTACGCATGGACACATATCGTCTGACGGCTGACTACAGTAACTTACTCACTAGATCTACACATAAGGTTACTTTCTAATCGACTAATCTACATGAAAGTCTCATTCAAATGTGTATAACCTTGGTGGACTTGTATCTCATTAATCAAGGCACTGAATTTCCAAGCGATGAATCATGGGTTCGAATAAAGTACCATCTAGCAAGGTTTTAGCACTCAGGGCAAATGTACAAGGTTTTCGAATGGATTTTAATTTTTCGCTAAGTGATCTGAGACAGAGGCACGACAGATATATTCAGATAAAATACGATTTTCATATTCACATTAATTTCCAATATGGAGTAGTGGTGATACACAAACACACGCTAAACTAGTTCGGCTCGAGTGAATGACTGACTTCACAGAACAGCCTAGTAGTTGGTAAAATGATCAATCAGGTTTCGGTAATTCGCCTGAGAAAGTACCTTTCCATAAAATAAGGGCATGTAATTGGCTGGTGTCTTAACCTCGCCTGGTTAACTAGTACACTAGTTACTAGCCGGTCCTAAACCCGGGTAAAGAGGGAAGGTTGGGCATACGGCTAGCAACCCTACTCCAGAAAACAAATCTAACCGCTAAACAAACTTCAAAGCACAAACGAAATATAAGAAATAAAAACAAAATTATTCCTCGCTGGAATCGGAGAGGCGAAATGATGCCAGTTGATGAAAGCCTTCGGGAAGCCAATTGGCCGGTGTGTCTTCTCTCTCTCGATGCAAGCGAAAGTAAACGTGGGGACATGGAATGTCCGCACCATGTTTGAACCACGTAAGGCAGCCCAGATTGCAAAAGAGATGAGAAGGAGATCTTCTGCACTCAGCATGTGGAACAACATCCGGATTTTCAACACCAACACCAACCTAGTCAAGTCAGTGCTTCTGTATAGTTCAGAGACTTGAGGCGTCACGAAAGGGATTTCCAACAAACTACAGACATTCACCAACAACTGCTTACGCTCACTCGCTACTCAAGATCAGATGGATGGCCAGAATGATGAGAATAAGCAACAAGGAGCTCTGGGAACGAACCAACCAAGAACCTATCACTCAACAAATATGCAGGAGGAAATGGAGATGGATTGGGCATGCACTGAGAAGGCCGACTGGGGACATCACGCACCAGGCCACACCCTCGAGTGGAATCCAATGGGAAGCGACGAGTTGGACGTCCCAGCTGAGGGTGACATGGAGGAGATCGTGCGAGGAGGAAATGAGAGGTTGTGGGCTGTCGTGGAACCAGGTTCAAAAGATCTCAGAGAACAGAGGTCACTGGAGACGTGCTACTGAAGCCCTATGTTCCACTAAGAACCCAAGGGACTAATAATAATAATAAATAAAATTGGCTGTTGTCTTATTAGTTGCTAAGGTGGCTTATAAAGTCACCCGAATGAATAGTAAACAGTCATATAGTGCAAATGTCGAACTAAGGGTGATGGACAGATAGACAGACAGACAGACAGGCACACACGCAGACAAACATCTATCATTTAACTTACATAGCCGTAGTTTGGCAGACAAGTATCTATACTAGATGATGATTGAAGGTGAAATGAAAATCTTGACCGCGGCCGGATTCGAACCAGCGACCACCGGCCCCGGTGTTCTATCAGCTGAGCTACGAGATCTGACTACGATAGTAACACGTCATCAATTCACATGGTAATTGGACAAAATCCTTAGTGATTGAAGTGAAATAAAATTGTAGTCAGTAGTCGAACCTTGTAGGTCAGTTGGTAGAGCATCGGGTCGGTGGTCACTGATTCGAATCTGACCTCGGTTCACACTTTCATCTCACCTTTAATCATTACTCAGTAGTATAAAGACAAATATTTGTATTACACCCATCGTAAATAACAGCTCTGTCCAATTAGTGCTAAGCAAACAATCTCTAGATATACATTGGTATCTGTCTAACCTTGATGTTTGTTTTTTCCAGGTATGTTAGTACACAGTAACTGTTTTAATGTTTACACAAGTGTATACACATTAATTCAATATTTCTCTAGAATGAACAGCTCAATGACAACTGAATGACTCATCAGTCAAATATAATGAATGACGTCATCATATACATATATTTGGTGTTGAGATATGCGTGTATTATTGAGTAAGAAGAAATTGTGCTCACACACGTTTAGTCAACATAGTTGGAAATCAGTTGAAACAGAGACAACAGCTATTAAGCCTCGTGGCTTGAGCAGGCAGGCAGGCAGGCGGCAGGCAGCAAGCAGGCAGTCAGTTCAATCAGCCCTATCCACAAATAATCTGATGTATAGATGTAGTGTACAGTCATTGATAAGCATAAATTGGTGTATTGTAACCTCACACCACACTAAAGCGAATTAAACAGGTAAGCGCAAGCAAGGTAATGTTCTCACCGAAAAAAAATAGTATGAACAATATCAACATAGTTACTCATCAAGTCAATTAGTGTACTATTATATTTACGGCTTATAGAGCATAACTGATTAAAAAAAACAACAAGAAAACATGATGAATCACACAGTCTCATACTTTGGAGAAGCATTAGAAACCTCGAAGTACTCGATAAGTACTACGTCAGAATAGTATGGAACTCCTCAGCAATACGCATCGATCACCCCAGATTCAGAAGGGACCGAAGCCAAGACCTTGAGGTTCCAGAATCAGAATATTAACATCCAAACACTGGGTGGGAATACAGTAAGGTCATAGTTTCTACTTTTGTAGTACGACCTCCAGGCAGTGCCATCGTTGACTAACTGTTCTCACATCCTAGCTATTTGACTCCACCGATCATGACTTTTTATTACGACTTTTGGAATCATCTCTGGAAATTAGTCACTAATGTGGAGTAGAACAATTCAATTTGAAGGTTTATAGGGATTTATTTATTGATTTCAGGTTGATGCTCATCATCGATTGGAAATCTGAAATCAATAAATAAATCCTTACAGACCACTGGATTGAAGTATACAGTTCTCTATTTTATGAAAACATTTCATGACGAAATGGAAAATCCTGGCGGCTTATAAAGGTAATCCCAGCAACGATTGTCTGGAAGGGCAGATTTTCATAAAATATAGATGTCTAATTGGCTATTTCGATTGTTGTTAGGGTGACCACTAAAGTCACCTGACTCAACACAGCATACAGTTTGAGTCCCATTCTAAGTGAGTTGGGAGGTGAATTTAAGGGCCACCCTAGCAACAATCGAAGTAGCCAATTTTAGACACCTTCCAGACGAGAACGAAGAACCTAATTGGTTACATCGATGGTTGCTAGGGTGACCTTTAAAGTCGGAGTAACTTTAATAGCCACCCTAACAACTGATAAAACAATCAATCACATCTCTCTATCCTATGAAAATTGGTCTTCCCAGACAAAATACCACAACCTGATTGGTTATTTTGGCAGTTGTTTGGGTGACCTTTAAGGTCACCCCTGAAATAGAGTAACTTCAAATGACCAACCACTTAGCAACTATTGAAATAGCCAATTAGATCTGTGTATTTCGGTTTAAAAGATTGATTATCATGTTTTAGGTAGGGGGGGGGGGTTGGCTTTTAGACGAATGCATAGAAAGAAAAATGCCCTGAAATCCTTTATCCAGCTTATATTCACAGTAAACTCAAAATTAAAAGTAGGAAAGTAGTATATGGACGAAAAATGTGCTATCATAAATCATGGATCTGGTGGACAGATATCTTATTTACAAGTGTGAGGTGATCCTACTCCAGTATACAAGGTTCTATATCGATTTCATCTGCTTGTACCCCATTGAAAAGTTGATCTAAATGATAACTGATTAACTACACCAATTAACTTGTTGAAATATGATCACATAAATATACTTCAAGGTAAAAAGTGTACTTACAATCTTTGAAATGTTTGAAATGTCTCCTTCTCTTTCAATTCTTGTATAGGATCATGTCCATGAGCACGTTCTTTATCATAAACCATGTAAGTTTCACCACGATCACGTGTACATAACCATATACTTAATCCAATAACGACTATTAGAATAATTACTCCAATAATAACAGCAGCAATCCATGCAAGTCCAGCAGAGGCTAAAAATAATTTTTTTTGTTTTTTTTAAACAAGAGAAAACATTAGAAAGATTCACCACGTTACACAAGCTAATCATCATCATTATCAACATAGGACAAGGCATTACTGCGTAACGGTCCGACTTCCCACCACACCTCATATCACTACATCAAGTAGAAAAGTAGTGAGGTGAAGGATGAAGATAAGTGAATGCAGTCAAAAGAAATATAAAGTACGAGAAGAAAGGAAAGAGGAGTGACAAAATGGTGAGATTTGGTATAGTGTAGTTAAGATGAGGATAATGTGTGTGGGGATACATCTGCGCCACTGACATCGGTTCTCACCCATATCACCTACAGTCAGTCTCCAACCACTCGTTCTTCTTGTCCCACAGGCCCCAACCACCTAGTCTGCATCGCCCCCACTCTGCATGGCTTAAACCAACAGTCAGAGACTTCATACATTGGTGTCATGTTTTAGTCTGGCCACCTCGGGCCTTTTTCCAGCCTGCACCCACCTCAGCCAACATTGTGTGATGAGGCAATCGGTAACCAGACATACGTAGTACGTGTCCCAACCATCTCAGTCGATGAAGGTTCATAACCTCGTCAACTGACTTACCTCTTCTCCCCAAAACTCTACTCCTGACTTCTGCCATTACTCACGTGGTGTGGTGACACCACGGAATACAGCCTATACTATAACTACTAAGGCAACAGTGGTCAAACACCTGAAGCCTTTTTATATCTTCCACTTTCAATGGCCATATTTCACAGCCATACAGTAAACAGACCAGACTGCTGTGCAGTACACACCACCCTTAATAGACAAACGGATATCACGGCCACGCCATAGGTGGCGCAAATTGGCAAAAGCCAATCAAACCTTTTGTATCCGTGCAGAAATCTCATCGGCAACTAACCCACCAGGACAGTACTGATCCTACTTCCCAGGTAAGTGAAGTAAGTAGTCGACACACTCAACCACTTCACTCTCTATTGTCAACCGCGGTACCGCTGAAGACCAGTCAGTCCTGGAGCAAACATTTGCATTTCGGTGGTGAAAATCGCATCCCAAACATTCTCAAATTCCCACTCAAAGTGTTCACAACACTCTGCATCTTGTCAGCGTCTTCACCTAACAGGATTGACTATGTCATCTGCATATTCTAGATCTAAAGAAAATTCACCTGTGATTGGGTCAACGTCTGTGTAATCAGGTGATTAGAGGGAAACCTCCATAAGAATATCTATGATAAAATTAAATAAGAATTGGGATAGTGGGCATCCTTGCTAATAGAATATAGTTTATATTGCTAATCAATGATATGCTTCTAGACGGATATCACAAAGTTCTACTAAGAAGCCATTTGACCGGTGGTGGAGTCAACCAGTTGAAGGGGGAACAGATACCAACTGAAGACCTTAGGGTGATAGTTACACGATATCGTGAGTTGACAGAAGTTGGGGACTGTGAACCACGCGTTCCCTATGAAACATGAAAGCCTTTATAGTTCAATCCCTAGCCGGGTTATGGGTACATACTTCTGAGAAATCGCATACTAGTCGGACGAAACAGCTGTCCAGTGTTCCCAGATTTTCTAATGGTTCCCCAACTGATATCAGTTCGTGATGAATACTACCTCTAACAGAATAACAATCAGAGCAAGAATATACACACATACACTTAACGTGTTTTTATAAATAATCCATATAACATAATGATCGGAAAGGAATCAGTGAGTGATGTGCTTCATCATCATCATCATCATCATTTGTATAAAGGCTTTATGACGAAGAAGGGATAAAAGGGTGACTTGATGTTACATAACAAAATCAAAGTAGATCCTGGCACCCAAGTGGTTCAATTCAAGTTGCCAACTGTCATAGTAGTCTACGACGAACAACTGGATACAAAAAGACTGATATCAAAGTAGACAGACTTGTGTGAGACGTGAAGGAATGACCGATCTTCAACCACATCACCAAGAGTCCTCAACTGCTAGTTTGTTTCGTCTTGGCTATCCCTGACCACGTAGTCCACATTTCTCCCATACAGCTAAGACCTACACAGTCACGGACCTCATGATCTACCCGCCCTACACCGCTTACAAACGCAATCCAACTTCCTTCAGTATTGTACGTCGAGGTAGGCGGTGGCTAGCAGATGTCCAAATCACCTCAATCGGTAAGATTGATAACATCATCCAATAACTTACCTTTCCTTGCCTAGTACCCGTTGGCTTATGTCGATATAACTCACCTGGTGATTCCACCAAATGTGAGAGATGATGCAAGATGGCGAACGCCAAGCAGGTCTTCCGTATTGCAGCTGAAATTTCGTCAGTAACCAACCAGGCCGTTCAGACTGCTGACACTCCTTAAGTAAGTACAGTGGTCGACACACTCCACTCGCGATCATTAAACTGAGAGTAAGTGCAGACTAGTCGGTCCTGGAGCATCATCTTAAAGTTAACAGGCGCGAAAAGCATGTCAGTCAAATATACACATATTTCTGCTTAAAGCGTTCAGAAGACTGCATTTTGTCAACATCTTCACATAGTATGACAATATTATCTGTATACTTCAAGTCAGCTGGATCGCTTCCAGAGTGTAGATCGATCCATGTGAAGTCAGACGTGCCTAACTATGGTTATGTCCATAAGTACGTCTGTAACGAAGTCAAACAGGAACGGTGGCACTGGGGATCCCTAGGGGACGCCACTACTTATATTCAGTTCTGATGGTAACTCTCCATAAAGGTTTAAATGGCTGCGTGAACTTAAGTAGACAGTTTCGATACACATTACATACTTGTTCAGCACTCCCTTGACAGTCATACACTGTCACAATACCTCACAGTCGACAGATTCGAATGCTACTTTCAGGTAAAGAAATAGGGGGAGCATCGGCCACCGGTAAGTGTACGTGAGTTCCAGAACCTGTCAAAGGATGAAAACCTGACCGGTACATCCTTGTCGAGGTCTGAAACCTGCTTCGTTCCCTCAAGTTTGATGTTCTTAACCTCCAGCAGTTAGGTGTCACATATCTATGAACCCTAGGATCTTGGACATATTAGTGACTTGGTTACACTTTGGTGCATGACTAATTCGGACAGTTAAAATATGAATGAAATATACTGCACAGTACATCGACTATGGCTCTTGTCGTTCATGCATGGAATTACGCAGACTCAATCACCATTTGAATAGAATCTGAGTGAGAAAGGTAAGGCGAGACTATGAGAATTCATGGAAGCCGTTAGAGTTCGAATGAAAGTGAACTTCATGGAAGGTACAGAAAATCACAGGCTAAAAAGAATTGTCGAAATGATTTGCAGCTGATTACATCATCATCACGATTTTCTACACCAACTTACTTATATCTAAACTGGGTGATGATTGAAAGTGAGATGAAAATCTAGATCGCGGCCGGATTCGAACCTGCGACCACCGAGTTATATTTATTTGAACAACATCTCCTTTTAGTTGAAATCGTTGACTGATTTTCCTCTCTGTCCTTCTGTATTGTTGAAAATATCGTTTTCAGGCTGAAATTCATCATGGACTGACATCAGTTGGGGAAGCATTGGAAACCTGGACAACTGTTTCGTCCAACTAGTATAGTACTCTTCAGTAGTGTTCACCCACACAACTCAGGATCTTCAGGTTCTGTGGTCGGAATCTAATGGTCCATATTCATTACTCCTATCAGTTCACGATATAGCGCAATCTACATCCAATGTCATCGTTGAGTAACTGTCCTCATGTTCGACTTGGTTGATCCCACAGTTCATGACTTCTCAGTGGAACTTCGGGAATTACTTTAAATCTCTACAAACTTCCAGGTAGAATTATTCTAGCGCTTATTGGTGACTAATTGCGAGAGGTGATTCCCGAAGTTCCAATGAGAAGTCGTGAACGGTGGAGCCAGCTAGGCTGAACATGAGAACAGGTACTCAACGATGGCATTGGATGTAGGTCATGCTATATCGTGAACTGACAAAGTTGGAAATACGGGTCGCAGAATTCAGATGCAATGTCTCGATGGTAACGTGCTGGCCTCAGACCTTGAAAGTCCTGGGGTTGTGGGTGCGGACTGCTGAGAAGTCTCATACTAGTCGGACAAAACATGTGTCCGATTCTCCCAGGTTACCAATACTTCTCCAATTGATGTCAGCCCATAGTGAGTTCCAAACGGAAGTGGTGAATAAATAAACTGTTGTGACCGAGTGGTGGTCGCGTGCGTAGGTATGATGATACTGAGACTCAATAGACACCTCAAACGAATACCTTTACGACTGACCCCCCTCAGTACCTTCTGCTTTACTGAGCCGCGGAAAAACCATAAGACAAAGACGTCCTGTGACTGTAAGAACAGGGACGACTTTTGTTAGGCAAATACATGACATATATGTATTTACAGAACTCTCAGAAAGTCAAACCATAAATGAACCAATCAGATTTCTTGTATGAAGTCGAATTTCGCCAATCAGGTTCTCATGTCAACGAATGCATAAATCATGACCTGAACATGATCTGATCATGACTTGAAAACGACTCACCTATTGGCTACCTTTTGTCTCTACGTGTCATAAACTTAAAAAGGTATTGAACAAAATCAAGAGGTAAGTGTAAAGGATTCATGGCACTTTAGAGAAAACTTTAGATCATAAAATAGTGTGATCAGTCAATGTCAGTGTATAAGTTGTCGATTTATTGAATATATTTCTATTTACTGAAGGAGTTTGTGAAGGTCTGACGTATCGATTTGAAGGAATTTTCATCACACCTTCGTATCATCATCATCATCATCACCAGCCATCCAAATATGACCAGAACCTATCACGCAACAAATATGCAGGAGGAAGTGGAAATGGATTGGGCATGCACTGAGAAGGCCGACTGGGGACATCACGTGTCAGGCCAGTTGCTCGAGTGGAATCCCCATGGGAAGCGACGAGTTGGTCGTCTGAGGTGAGGGTGACATGGAGGAGGTCGAGCGAGGAGGAAATGAGAGGT